TGAGAGGTACTGCTACCTGGCTTGGTCCACACAAACAGGCAGAACTGCAGGTCCTGGTCACAACTGCAACCATGGTAGGTCCTCTAGAAGCACAAAAATTTCTATTTCTGTGCGCTTTTTTGCGAGGCTGTCATGAATTCCTAAAAATAAGAAAAGAAGGATTGGAGAGTTATTTTTCATATTTTCATTTTCATTGTACTACAAACATTACACTGTAGCCTATATGTGTATATTCCAAGGTAGCTTGGCACTTTTCCTTAAGGGTAACTGTTGCAGAGCTCCAAGACATACCATCAATATCTCCGCTTAAATACCCTTGCAGCTGAAGAAGCAGGTCAATATCCAAGACACAATCCCCCCATTAACTGGACGACACACAGTTCTGTGAGTCAACTGATTTTACTAGGCATAGCACACACAATTTAAAACCCCCAACAGCCTAATTTACATACAATAGAGTACATAGATTACAATAGTGCAAGAAAGGGTGGGGTCAGACAATAGCAAGGGCTGATGGGAGATTGAGGGGGGATAGTGCCATGGGGCCCCGGTGCGAAAATTGATCCGTGCCCCCTCCTCCCCCCTCCCCCCGCGCTTACTCTGCACGAGCTGGGGCCGCAACTCGGCGGCAGCCACCTTGTCGCAGGGCTGCAACTGCAGTATGTTCGCCAGTGCATGCAGATACACACACACACTTAAAGGACCACTACAGACACCCAGATCACTTCAGCTCAATGAAGTGATCTGGGTGCCAGGTCCCTCTAGTTTTAACCCTGCAGCTGAAAACATAGCAGTTTCAGAAAAACTGCTATGTTTCACTGAGGGTTAATCCAGCCTCTAGAGGCTGTCTCACTGACAGCAGCTAGAGGCGCTTCCACGATTCTCACTGTGAAAATCACAGTGAGAAGACGCTGGACGTCCATAGGAAAGCATTGAGTAATGCTCTCCTATGGTTGGTTTGAATGCACGAGTGGCTCTTGCCGCGCATGCGCAGAGCCGAGAGGAGGATCGGGGCGGAGTGATCCCCAGTGCCAAGGGAGTCTGGAGCTGGAGAAAGGTAAGTGCTGAAGGGGTTTTAAACACACACTCTCATGAACAGACGCATACACACTAGCTAACAGACACACACATTTACTGACAGAGATACACTCAGAAACATACATACATACACACTCACTGACAGACAGACACACATACACACTCACTTACAAAACATACACTCTCACTGACAAACACACACTCACTAACAGACATCAAACAGACTCACTAACAGACACGCACTAACACACTCAGTAACAAACATACACAGTAACACACTCACTGACACACACACACTCACTGACACACAAACTAACACACACACTGACACTCAATAGCAGACACACACTCAATAACAGACACACACAAACTAACACACTCACTGACACTCACTAGCAGACACACACACAGTAACACACGCACTGACACAAAAACTAACACTAACACACAGACTCTAACACTAACACACATACACACGTTTTTTTAAAAATGTGATCCCCCAGCTTCCCTACCTTTGGGAGTGCTGACGGGAGACAGTCAGGGATAGGAAGTTCCAGCAAATCCCTCCCTGCCTATCTATACTCACTGATCCGCGGGTGTCACGTATTCATCTGCTTATAGAAATGTGGTTAATGGCATTTACTGTCCACACAGGAAAAGTTGTGCCGAGCAGCAACCAAATCCACAGAAGGGTTAATGCTGAGCAGCAATTATGCAAATGAAACCTGGTAACTGACTTTGGGGTCAAAGGCCGGTTACAGCCTATCAGAACTAAAGGAGGGGTATTTAGACCCAGTTCTCAGCCTGCTCAGTGCCCTGTCGTGGTTTCCCTTGTGGTTGTCCGAGAGCGAGTTCCTGATTCAAGTTTCTTCTGGTTTTTGACTTTGGCTTTGATTTTAACTTCCCTGTATTCTGTATCCCTGACTTCTGGCTTTCTCTTATCGTTGTTTCTCTTTCTGTATCCCCTGACCTCGGCAAGTATCCTGACTATATTCTTTGGTACGTTAAGTCCGGCCATAAAACAAGACCTGAGAGAAATGTAGCTATATTAGAGAATAGGGTCAAACAACTATATCTATAACAATCAGCTTTAGAGAACAGATCAAGAAGGAATAATCTCTGTCTAAGGAGAATCCCTGAGAATATTATAGATATTAGCAGCTTTGCTCCAGGCCTCATTAAGAAAACTCCTGCCAGAATACAAGGATGAACACCTTGTGATGGATCGCTGCCACAGAGTTGAAGCGCCTTCTAACAAGAGAGAGGAGAGGCGTTTAGCTGTTATATTGTGATTTTAACTTTTATAACACTTAATTAATATTTGCTATGTGGCAAAAAAAAACCACGTCATACTAAAATGCTTACCTACAATTTTTTAATGACCTATGATTGTTAACTATGGTGAAAAGGTATCTGTTTAAATGACCATCCAACTTACTGTCCACTGAATATAGTAGTATCGTTGGGGTTTTCTTTTTAGGGCTAGTTGCAAATAATGGGGGCAAAATTTACAGTCTCTCCCATATTGTGGACAAGGGCGTATCCCCTCGTCATCTCTACAGGTTGATTTTCCTGAAGGATCTGTTGCCTCGCAAAGTGTTACCGTGCAAAAGGCTCTAATTTGAGTATAGCTGATGACTCTGGGGAGGGTCCTTTAAGGCTTTGGAACAAGACATGTCGAGAACCTACCTACTGCCCCTATCCATGATGGAGCAACAAATGTCACAGGGATAATATTAGAAAGATTTCCCCCTAAGGAAACTGGTAATCTAAATGCCAAATTTTCTTTCTGCTATTATTTTCCAAAATTGTTAGTAATTTATATACACAACCTAGACCCACGGCTTTTGTATAGACGTTACCAGCTCAGCTGGTAAACTCCCTAACAATAAAGCCTGTTCAAAAATGCATGGTCACAGGTTCAAATACCGGCAGGGTCAACTCAACCCTTCATCCTTCTGAGGTTGATAAAATGAGTACCATCAACTGGGTAATAATAACATCTATTACTATTAAGCTGCCATTTTGGTTATTTTTGAGAGCGTCCGCTGAAAAGTGCTATATAAATACTAGTTATTATTATTATTATTATATACTATTCTTTATTTCCATTCTGCTAACAGCTGTACTCTGTACTCAGAAAATATCTATTGGACACAAAACTTTCCATTAACTTGGGTGAAAACAAAATAAAGTATTGGGGAGCCAATTAAGGAAACAAAGATTATATCACTTTACCTTCCTCCCAGGTAAATGGGATGTGCTGTTTATATCCGCTGGATACAGCGTTTCATATATACACACTATGTGTCTCTTAAGTACTAATAGACCATCTTTATTATAAGTGTAATGGATGCAGCTTTGGCAGGTATATTTTTGTTTTATTTTGATAAATTTGGACTTCTGCCCTTGTTCTTGCTCATTGATCATCTTTTAAATGATAACACAGGGGTATTGGAGAGGATCAAGACAATGCAGAGCAAACCATTGATGCAGTAAATATAATAACTACTGTAACAACCAGATCAGTAAAGGAACAAATACTAGCCAGGACTTGGGATAATGGGAAATAAGCCTCAACAGAAGAGTTAACCTTATATGCTGGCTCATTGATATAGATTGATGATCTACGGTAATGCAATAATGCTTTTGCTTAGGCCTTCCCAATACGGTGTAACAGAAATAAAGCATGTTATGGTGCTCAACTGTTTCCATTACCAGGAAGAAAACATGAAATGTCACATTGGCTCTCTAGCAGCATGGAATTTCTCTCCAAAGAAAACCTCACGTGCCCACCATCCAGCCAACCCACATGTTCCTGGGAGCTTACTGGGGATATAGTACTATCTAAAAATATGAATCATATTGCATCTAAGAGGAAAACAACATGGGAAGTTGATGGAGTTTCTTGAAAACATCTCTAGGAGCACTAGGTCGTAAGTACACATAATGAACATTCACGGCCAGGGCATTCTAGGATCCTGCAACATCACTCATGACATTGAGAGATCTTTCAATTGTGCATGCGCAATGTAATTTTCCAGTTATGGGACGAGATTTTCAGTCTATACCAGTGAAATATCCTAAGAAGCTTTGAGAATCTTCTGTTCTAGAGACACGAACGCCCATGCGATTGAAGCTTTCAAATGCTGTTATACAGCGTGTTAAGAATGGGGTAAGATAGGTACGCTAGCATGAAGAGGTGTTCCTGACCCAAATTATAAAAGAGACAATTTCTTTTGAAGACTGTGATTAGGATAGAGTTTACAAATGGAACTGAAATAACTTTAGTGATTCAGATAAAGTGGGTAATTAAATAAATAAAAGCAATAATAAGAGAACCAACCATATACACAATACTTCTGTTTTGAAACCAGTGAAGAGAGTTTTCCACTAAGTGTGGACCTTTCAAGTGATACTGGAGCTTCTTCATTAGTGTCCATCCCAAAAACAAGAGGACAGAGGTACAAGAGGACAGAGAGCCAAAAGTCAAAAGGACCTTTTCTGAGGAATCCGATGGACGTTTTGGGCTTATTAACTGGGTGACAAAAAAACGACAGAATAAGACAACAAAGGAATTAAGAGACAGGAAGAGATTGCAGAGGAAGAAGATATGGAATGATAAACAGGTCAGAGAGGAATGATGGAAACTCAAGACAGAACACAAGAGCCAGAAGCAAGTACACAAGGGGCCTCAGGGTGGATATAAATAATGTTGTAAATTTGACTAACAAGACTTTTAGAGACCCTGAAATTAGCCTGTTGTGTGGCTTACAAAAATTATCCATCAAAGATGTCGGGTTTATTTACATTCTGGGGTCTATATAGATATTAACAGAAATCGGGAGTAAGATCTCAACTGGCTTAACTTATTCATTTAATAATGATGCCACCATCTTGTAAAAAAAATAAATACGTTTATTTTTTTAATAAATAGTTTTTTACATTTTGTAAACATAACACTTTATGGACCATATATCAACAATTTGGCACATTTTACATATGTAACACAATATGCAAGATCTCTCCACTCCTGGGACATTAATAAATTAATATTAACACATACATATATCATAAATTATATTTGAACATACTGTAAACAAAACACATTTCAAGTTTTAAACTAGTCAGGAAGACAGAATCCAGCTACTAATCTTCACACAAATGTGTTTTTCGTTTTGTTTTTTTTCGCGTTTATTGGTGAAGACGAATATTAAATTGCTAGATTTGAAAATAAGCTAGTCGGCGGCGGCGGCTTTCCAGTGTAGAATATGAAGACTAACAGACATAAATGAGCATTTATTAGACATTTGAATATATGTGCCAAATTATGGTCTGATCAATTTATACATACTAATTCGGTATTTTAAATAATACGTTCATGGGTGACAAGTGACTTTCCCATGAAACATTTTTTACCTTTAATGCACCAGTTAATTTGTAGATCGATATAGTGTGATTGTCAATAACATTTGTAAAGAGGGATCTTATTAATCTTATTAATATACTACATACCATGTTAAATGATGGTTTGCACAATAAATAGATGCAGATGGACTATTTTTTTTTTTTTAGCTATGAAAGATACAAAAAATACTATCCATTACCCATTGGAGATTTGTCCGACTTGGGCCTCGATTTAATGATATTGAATAAGCTTTTGGATGATTTAATATTTTTTGGATAAACATTTCAAATGATTTGTCTACAGAAATTGTTGCAGATAATTCATTTGAAAAGTGATTTAAAAATATCCAAAAATACTAAATGGGGGACTTGGTCATTTTCATATTGGCTTTATAAGATTGGTGTCATATTTGTTCTTCATAACTCCCTGCCTAGTCTAGTGAATACATTTCTACATGGAAACAAATCTAAAAGGATGAATGTTAAAGTATAATCCATCCCCTTTCCCGCGTATGTTTTGGAAGCTACACAGAGTTGTTTAAAAAGAAAAAAAATATAAAAAAAAAATTACAAATATAAATACAATATTTTAAAAAACAAAAAAATCAGTATAAAAATCTAAAAAAAACTTCTATAAATTAAAATACAAATAATAATATTCATCCATGGAAATTCAAAATTCAAGGTAAGTCTCTTATTTTCTTTTCTTCTGAGTCCATAAAAAGAGAAATATCGAATGTGAGAAATTGTGCAAATGTCCCAAGTACTGTCCATCTCCTTGGGTCAAGGAAAACATACAATCTGTTCATAGGTTGATTGGTGTTTCTCAGGAGTACAACGTCAGCAACATCCACTGTTGAGGAAAATACGATAACTTAAAAAAAATGACAGATATATGCCAAGTAGAGAACCTATAATTCCCTAAATTGAAGCGAAATAAAAACTACTTAAATGCTTTTGATACGTTTAATATTCCAATACATTCCAATAACCATGTATTAAATTATATCTTACTTTAACTGACAGATTCTGTTTACAAATCCCATTGATGTCACCCTGTAAATTAAAAACTGTAATTCATAGCAAGACTTCATACTGTCAATCACATGGTTACTAAATACAAGCAGGACTTCCAGGGCCCCAAACTACTGTATATGTATATACGTATGTGTGAGTGTGTGTCTGTGCATGTGTGTCAATGTAAATATCTCTTTATAGTTAATATGCTGTTTCTGGAGCAAGAGATGAAAGAGCGTTTATGATGTATCTTCCATTGATAAATTCTCTGAAGTAGTTCGAAAGAGTTTCACTGCACCTCAATTCACAATAAAGTTTATGTATGATCCAAGAGAGGAGCAGACAAGATAGTAGACCTTCTATTATTTATATGGTACTGCTATGATGATCTGCAGGCCCACAGCTCTTCAGGAACAGCAACTAAAAGTTCATCCTTAATCTACTACTGTTTACGAACTACATCCAACTATAAAAAGCCAAATCAGCGTTGTAAAACTGAGAACGACATAGACTTTGCGTCAAACCCACCTCTGACTCCTGAAGATAAATTCCTTTTCCATCTTTACTTAAATTCTGAAAGACCTCTGGAAAATGAAAATGAGATTTTACACAAAGAACTGGCACATATTTAATACTTGTTTACAAAACAATTATTAATAAAACACATATTAAAAATGAATAAGTGTATTGTCCAATCTCAGTGGACTATAAAATATGCAAATATTCAGAATAGCGATATCTACTCAATAGCACAGAATTCACACCATGTATTCCAAATACAGCAATTAAATATAAAACATACACACCGTGGTTCCATTTATTCGGTTATATACTACACTCACTTGGACCATAATGGGAAAAAAAAACACTGACACCCAATAAAAATATAAGGACACAAATGACAAAGCATGCAAACGTGTAAAATACCAACACCGTGCTCATCCAAGCATGCACACGATATTTCCTTTCACTCTAAATAATTTATACGTCTCTCTCCTTTTTTCTATCCTCTCACACTTTAATCACTGCTTCCATACTTCTAATTTTACATTTAAGAACAAGAAAACAATATCATCCTTTCCCCACGTCTGACCTGTACCGCTGGTCTGCGGTGACGATGGCACAACGTGGGGAAAGGACGGGAAGAGTCTTGACGCAGTGAAGACGGAGCTGGTGGAAGAGACATAGTTCGGCGCAGCCTAGAAACTGAAGGAAGGAGGAGGACAGTGTGCATTAGTGAAGAATGCAGTACTGTATCAAAAGGGAGACATCATTCTCCCCGTTGCCTCCTTTTCCCCTCTTCAAGACTTACTGTAGACTTAGCGTAATGCACAAAACGGTAGATTAAAATAGTATGTGTAATATTCTGTGTTGCTGTCTAAGTATATTGATTGTTGCTGAATGAAGTGTTAGTGTAACCAACACACCAACTCCTTGTTCCTATTTGCCCATCCTGTTTAACATATTTTATTACAGATCATTCACATTCTTCCTTAAATAGTGCTCACAGTAAGTGTGTAGACCATGACACTTATATGTTTTGTGTTAGCACAGACTAGAAAGAACAAAACTATATCCTTATCTTGATATGCATGTTCATTGGTATCTAGAGTACTGGAGACCACCACATGTTTAAGGAGTTAAAAAGTTGGGTATTGTATAATGCATTATTAAGTACTTTTAAGACCGGCTTGCTATAGGTGGGTAGTCAGCGGCCAAGTGAGTCACTCACAGTATTCTCACTGTGCATCCATAAAATGTAACTTCTAGACTACACAGCCTAAGTGACCTTGTTATTTCTCTCTAGAACTGGGGCATCTGACTTTTGGCCATCTATCTTTTTTTGGACCACATCCCTGGGCTAAGATTGAAAAAAGATTAAAGAAAAAAAAAAAGAATTTAAAACCAATGTTGCTTTGGGTCTTTGTGAACTCTGCGAATGATGCCAATGATATGTATAACATAATTGTTCTAGTCTCATATTTCCATGAATATGAACATTTATGGTCATATTTCCAACAAGTTTATTACTTAATTGCAGTATTTAATACTTAATTTGATGATGCTAGTTTATTCCAGAAGTAGTTTCTGTGAATATAGATTATATCTGTATACAGAACATTCTCTGCTCTCTAAGATGTGATTCACATATTTCAAGGTACTGTCGTTTAGAAAGACAATCCCACCATCCGACACCTTTTCAGTAGCATACAGTGTGCACTGATTTACCTCCGTTAATCTCCATCCGCAACATAAGGCAGACAAAATTTTCAAAATTGATTTTCAAAGATGAGTTGCCATATCGTAGCAGCATGAGGTTGTAGAATTGATGATTTAATGTAATACCTTGAGGAGAGAGAAAATATGTGGTCAATAGCACAAGGATTTAGACGATATCTCAATTTGCTGCATAAACTCGTATCTTCCAACACAGATCTTATCTCTACAAGGCCCAGAGCTGATTGATTGCGCGCAGGTTCTGCAGTTGGAGAATCAATCGTTCAGTAGATACAGTGTGTGTTCCTGAGTCAGATAAACTATATAGCTCTTACACACTAACCTGACTTCCAATACCCATATATTCATTTATTTCTTAATTTAGTGGACAGATTATATTTAAAAACACCACATTTCTCAATATCATGTCACACTGTGAATTAAAAAACGTATTTCATAGCGTGATATCACACTGTCAGTCATGACGTTACCAAATGTGAGCACATGGACAGCATGTTTGAGCCCCAATATGGCACGAGTGTGTGTGTGTTTATTTGCCAACGTAAATTGGAACTGGAATAGTAAGGAACAGACAAACCCTTACACTCCAAATGCTGTCAAACTACATTTGTATTTATTTTATTTTGTTATAATAAACATTTTAACTTTATTCATTAAATGTGTTGATGTTTTACTGTATTCACGGTCAGGTGGGGAGTTTTTCACAGCAGATAATATAGACACCTCAAATGCACAGTTTCATTTTTCTATTCATATTTATTATTTTAATTAACATTTTCACCTTTTTCTTGCACAGCAGCCTGTAGGTCAATCAGTGTCAGAAATCCAGATCTGTCTTTATCTCTCCTTTGGAATATTTCCTGGGGAAGAAATCAGGTTACAAATTCGATTGCATTGTTTTATGACATATGAAAGAGGTATTTGAATTCGTAGACAAACTGAAACACAAAAACCTCAGGCTGGCTCACAGCAGAATCTACTGCTATATAATACATTTCTGATGATTGTTTGGACCAGATCAACCATAGTGTCATATAAAAAATATAAATAGCTGTGGTATGCAGCTCATACAAATATAAAATTACTAGCTGTAATTATTTTATAGAGCTTGTGGAGTGTATATGCCAAACTATGATTTGTTAGCAAGCTAGCTGTATCGTAAAAAATCGACTCTAATGAATACTATGTAGCCATTGCTTTATCCTGGTGGATCCAAAAGGAAATGACAAACTATAAAAAGATTAAAATAAAAATAGTGAAGCTTTTATCACGGAAAATACATTTAGTTTTTGCTTGGCTCTTTTCCTTGCCGTTTCGGTAAGGTAACACATTGTATTTGTACTGCAATTTTGTATTTTTTTTTTTTTTTTCTAAAACCATTTTTGGGTGGCATATTTTGCTCACCATGTCTACACTTGAAGTCTAGTACTATGATGGTTCTAATGAAGAAAGTTCAGATATCATCTGTAGCAACGCATTTCGCGGCATCATTATAAGCTGCCTTTAACAGTGGATAGGTTTTCAAGCAAAGGTTATCTATTACTGTGAGATCACTCTCCTCCTGTCATTGACATCAGAATACTTTAACTTTAGAAAATAATTGACTATGAACGAACCTGATAAGAGAGAAGCCTCTTCCATAAACATCTGAATTCTTCTATGTTTAGTGTGCCAGACGTCTTCATCTGCAGTATGGATTCATTAAGGATTTTAACAATTTTAAATATTTTTTTTATTAAACTGTCATCAAAATATCAAGGCTTGTACGTGCCAATAATTCCTCACAGCGCTATTATTAGATAAATTACACAATATATAATTTATTATTATTATTATTATTATTATGATATATATAGAGCGCCGTCAAATTCCGCAGCGCTTTACAATGGGTGGACGAACAGACATGTAGTTGTAACCAGACAAGTTGGACACACAGGAAATCCTATATTAAAAAAATGGGCACCAACAAATTTAGAAAAATGTCCCTAAACCTTTATTTAAGAGTAATATTTACATGTGTTAATACTTATTAACATAGGATGTTTTTACATTCATTTTTTTTACTTAAAGTAAAGGAGGAGCCAGGCACCATCTTACTATTAGGTGTTAAGTCGTTACTTAATCAATATTTAATGAAGTTTATGAAAGGCTGCATATATGAGGGTTCTGGGAATGATATCGATGTTGATGAATAAGGAGATGCCCCATGGACATCACAAATTAACAGAGAAAGGATACATCAAGCTGAGCCATGATCACTTTGCAGGCATCTGAGCTGAATTTTACCGATGCTTGCTTTGTACCTGTAAACGGATTAACAATATTAAAAAGAAAGAAAAATTACATTCAACAACGTGCACTGTTTCGAGATTCTCAGCTTATATTTACATAGCTGGAACATTAAGAAACTAAACATTCTAATAAATAATGAAAACCATGGATATACAATAATGTAGTTTATGGATACCAGTTCTATATTTTGCTGATATTTTTTATAATTAATAATAGGTATGCTTGCTTGTAGCACGCGCCTCTACAATGTACAGACCATGCAATATAACTAAGTGAAGGTTTAGATTTAGTCATTACTCAGGAAAAATATAGATATTTATATCCACTTACTTATCCAAGTCACTTTGTTTAAGAGCATTTGGAGCTGAATTACGCTTATTTCAGGATGCTTTCAAAGACAAAATAAGAAATATATCATTAGCATTTTTTAAATGTATTTTTGAATTACCTTTTCAACACCAGACACAGCATATCAGTTATTTACAGTTAACTATTCTCTTTAAATATGTCATGTATGTGTATTTTTTTTATTTCTTGGTTCATTTTTTTGGATATTTTAACAAAAACATTTTGTATTATCATGAGACCAGTGCTAATGCCGTTTGCAGAGACAAGCCAACAAAAATGAATTAGATCCTGCACACCTCCAGGACACCAATGGCCTAGGCCAGGGATAGGCATTCCAGATGTTTTGGACAATATCTCCCATGATGCTTTGCCTACATTACAGCTGTATTATGGGAGATTTAGTCTACAACATCTGGAGTGCCGAAGGTTGCCTACCCCTGGCTTGGCCCTAAAGGCTTTCTAAGCATCATGGGAATTGTCCATCCCAGATGTCTGGTGTGAAGGCTAACCAGGGTTTTCCAGACTCAAACTCTCTTCACCCAGTGCAAGATGGAACTCAGCATATTAGGCACAGATACACTTTGAAAAAGTAATTGGCAAAACATGCAAAGGGTTTATTGATGCTTGCAATTAGTGATGTCCCAAACGGATAGCGAACATATGCGGTAAAACTTTGACCCTGTACCTCACAGTCAGCAGACACATTCCAGCCAATCAGCAGCAGACCCTCCCTCCCAGACAGCATCCATTTTACATTCATTGTGAAGCTGCATTCTTAGTGAGCTGTCCAGGAGGTGGGAGGGTCTGGGAGGGAGGGTCTGCTGCTGATTGGCTGGAATGTGTCTGCTACTGTGAGGTACAGGGTCAAAGTTTACCGCATATGTTCGCCATCCACGGCGAACCGTTCGGCGAACCGTTCGGGACATCACTACTTGCAATCCAAAAAATATTTAATTATCCTATGTGGTTATTTTATATGCCGTTCTTTCTGATTCTTAGACTCTCTCTAGTTTCATTCCTTATTGATATTCATATGCAAGTAACATGTACGACCTACCAAAACATGTCTCATCACATCAATATTTCAGTATAATCATTATCAATATTCCGACACTGGCATTCTTTTCTAAAAACAAAACATTTTATTTTGTCTTGTTGGAGTTTTTTTTTTACTTACTTTTTCAAAATATTTGGTGAATATATTTTCCCAGAGCTTGTCATCCTGTTTGTCAGCAATTTTCTGTTCGAAACAGAATCAAGAAAAGCAAGATAAATCTCAACAGTTTATTTAAGGGAGGGGGGAAATATTTGTCTCATAGGATGATTATGTATTAAGAAATGTAATAGCTCTCAGATTTCTGTTTATTTGATGTTGTGATGTGTATTTATTTCCTGATGCAACTAGGACTGAAATAGTGATCATATTCCTATGGACACCTATTACTTTGGGTAGTACATGAAATGGGCTGTAGGATGTGTATATTGTAAGAGGGTAATATATGAAATGATTCTTAGAGATCATGCGGAATTCTTGGCATTGAGTAATTGATTTTGCTTCTGTAGTTTCAGAGTCTACATGTTGATAAATGAATCATATATCATGTACCTTGCAGTCACTTGAATAATGATAGGTGTCAAGAAAAACGTGACAGATCTGGGTGACATAGCCTGACTGCAGCTTTACTGTGATTGCGTACCTATCGATAATGTAGGTATAAGATACAAGTGTGAGTGGACCTGCGTGACTTTGGCTAATTGCGTCCACTCTAAATATCCCCACTCAGCGCAGTGCATGTATTCTCACTTAGGCTCAATGCCCTGATAGCACTCTACACAGTGTGAGTGCACCTATTGAGGCGGTCATTGTCTATTGTAAATACCTCCCTCGATTGTACTTGTGTTTATTCCACTATTGCATAAACGCATGAACAGTATACAGAAAATGCTTACCTTGCAACAGAGGACAATATTAGGGTTTTCGCCTTGTTCTCTGAAATGATAAATCATGTTAGTATTTGCTCCATTTACCAAATACATAAAATACATTCAGTTTTCATGAATTATGTCTATGCTGGGTCCTACTGGTTGAAATAAGTGGATAAGCCTTTGTCTGCGCTTGTTCCTTTTTGTCTAGCAAGGTCTAGAAAGTGGATCATTTGATCTTTAGCCGTGTTTAAAACATGGAAATTGAAAAATGAATTCAGACCCCGAGTCAAAGCTATATTATTAAGATTGTTCATTAAACTGAGAATTGTCAGTAATTCATTGTGAATTTCAAAATGAAAGAAATGCTGTTCAGAAAAAAAGTATGTTTCTCATTACAGTAATATATCTCCTTATTTACATTTTTAAAAATGTACATTAATTTGCCAGATATTTTTGACACCTGACTTATTGGAATGTGTTATATTTTCTTATCTTGAAATTCTGATATTTCGTTATCTTACTTCTTATCAGCAAATAATTTATACATATATTAACTGGTCTCTTAAGTCATTGCATTGCTTTGTAGGATAACAAATGCTTACTCTAGAATGTGCTTTCTAGAAAACACTCGGAGTATAAATTCACACTCCTGATCAGGTTCAGCTGTTGAGGGGACAATAACATAAGACCCAGGTAGCAGGCGAAAGTCCTGAGTCACTTCACGTTCATTGATAAAAACACATTTATTGTTGACTGGGCGATGGGTAAGGAAGAACATCTGGGGCAGCCGGCTTCGATTTCCCTGAAACTATACAGATCAGAAAGAAATATATTAATGATGGATAACCAGGACATTTGATCATTATAAATCTAGAGTTTAATGATCCTGATGTTTATTCCCTAAACAGTGAATTGAGGCAAATTGAAAACCAAATAGCAAAGTTATAATTCACCGTTTACTCAAAAAAAAAATCAATTTAGTACATGCTGCTTTTAAAAACATGAAATCTAAGATATTTTGATTTCATCAAGGCGAGACAGAAGGCGTGGGCATTTTAAAAACAAAATAACTGCAGGTAATGTTAATGTGTAAATTAATAAAAATAATCTTAATCTGGCACCCAAATTGTATGCAGAAACTCAAACCACTATACATTTAAAATTGTGGTTCATCGAAAGTAATTAATTAAAATAAATTTTAAGATGTAGATACAATACATTGATGAACAATTTATCAAACATTCTTTGAGAAAAGAGAGTTACAATTATAACTTTGTAATCTATATTAACAATATTCAACTACTGCCCCTTTGTCTGGGTGGTATGTACCTTCGATAAAGGTCAACCATTTCTCTAGAGTCTATAGTAACAGTGTTGGCCAGCTTAAAAACATGGAGTCTAGAAAGAGCTATTTTATGTTCATGTTTCCACCCGGTTTGTTTATTGCAGAACCTCACAGCATGATTTTAAGGGAATTACAAATTCATTATTCAAGAGCTCAGGATTCTGATAGAATAAAGGGCTAAGTTTACTCTCTCGCTCTCTGTGAAGAATCTAAGGATGTATTGCTGGAGATTAACTAGAAACTATTCAGCTATTATTGGACTACAAACTCCCATTACCTGGTTGATGGGAAATATGACAAAACAACAACTCAAGATTTGTGGGTTGCCATGCCCTGAATGACTGTACAATACCGTCATGACTTGGAAGACAATAGAATAAATAATGAAGAGATATTTGGTACTCACGTCAAGAGGCACCTGCAAAAAGAGAAGTAAAAAGGACATATTAGGAAGAGAACAAATACAGATTAGCACAAAACAGAGGGTGAAGCCTTACTTTTCATTTGCATTCATTCCAGTGCAAGAACTTGGTCCAAATGCCCATTTTACCACATTAACAAGCTGTTACGGCTTCACTGGCTGATTCTGTATGTATTTTTGTATCAGACTGAGACATTTAGAATCACAACTTCCTAACGCCCACTATCAATGTGAATAGTGAGTTTCCCTTAAAATTTTTAGATGTTATAGCAAACTTTAGATTAAGGACAGACAAAATGTGGAGCTCCAGTTGTTGTGGACTAAACTCACACTGGGGTTTATTTACTAAACACCAAATTGGAATGGATTGGAATCCGCATTGCAATATTTAGGAAAGTGTAGCTAAGCTATGACTATAACAGGAATGTTTCTGTCCGGTGACTGGTTCACTACAATTCAATATTTAGTGAATAAAAGCATCCAGTATTTACTTACACAATGGTGTTATTTTGAGCTAATTACCCAGGTAATGTACTCCTCATTTACAGAAATATGTTACCTTGAAAATAGACAGCCCGATGAACAGGGGGGGCGACTGGTTTCTGTGCTTGTTATTCTGCTTTTGAAGAAGGGACACCAGTACGTCACAAGAGTTTGTGCTCTTTTCCATATCATCCCCATGGAAAATCTTCAGCCGGTATTGGGGATTTTTCCAGTAGACATCTATAGAAATAAAATGAAAAGTCCAAATTAGAAGTTCAAACCAAGATACTGTAAGATCTTCAATGTAAGCTCCATGTTGGACTAAAAACATGGCCAGGTTACATATGGCACAGTTACTGTTAGAGACGGTAGACAACCTGAGTCTGTCCGTGTTTTGTAGAACTAGGATTCTAGAAGTTGTAGCTAGATACAGTTAATCATTCACTAAGCCACCTGTGAGTTTTGCAGATTTTATATCGTAACATTCCAGTGCCTGACACATTATTTATCACCTATGAACCATGTGTGCTAAACACAGCGAGCGTTTATAGTATTAATTTTATATAATGCCGTAATATAACAACATAATTATGTCCATGCTAACTAGTTTTCATTTGATATAACTGTTTTCACAGCATTTACCTGTATACGTCATTCTCCCCCCAGCTGTGCTACCGGGGGTCCATTTTCCACACTGCATGGATAAAGTCCACTGCTTGCCATTTTCATGGCTTATCAAGTCTGGAGTCAACTTGCAGATAACCAGCTCCACAAAATGAGCCTCAAAGTCCTCGATAGACATCCTACGTAGACAAAGAATACAAAATTATGCAATTAGTGCAAAGGCAAGTGGATACATATGTGAGGAGTTTGGGGCCTGGCTAATTTATGATTGAAGTAGCAACCATAGACATCACTTTATGACAAAAACTCGTTCCTAGAATCTGTTCTAAATAGTGTTGGTTTTTTTTAACGCAGGACATCGCCAATATTTGTAGCTATGTTTGTGTACCCAATTAATATATTAAATATACAAAAATGGCAGTGCGTATCCACATATATGTAAAATTAAAAATAACCCAGGTGCACTCACAGGACTTTTAAGTGGAAAATCGCAGTTTAGTGTAAAAATTATCCTTTACATTATTAGCTTGGCTTGACAACGTTTCAACCCTCTCTGGGTCTTTCTCAAGGTCCATAGTATCTGGTTGCTGTTTCAACCCCCTCTGGGTCAAGATTAGATACATGCTAAGCAAATAATGTAAAGTATATTTGTTCACATTAAACTGCTATTTTTAACTGCTGTGAGTGCATCTAGACTTCAATTATATATATATTATATCATAAAGTACAGTCAATATAAATTAATTTTAATTAGGTTAATGCTCATTAATTCAAATAGCAAAACATTGAGTCATGTGCAGGAAGCAGGAAAACACATCAACAGGTTTGGTTATGAAACATATGAATTCAGACATTGGAATGGGGAAGACGACATTGATCTAAGTGACTTTGAACACAGATTTATTGCTGGTTCCAGACCAGGTTTATGTACTAAAGTGAATTTCAAAATTAAGGACAAGATAATTGAACTGTAAGTTGCCTTGTTCGCCCTACACTGTGGCTCGTCACTACCACAGAGCTCCAGTGCTACTGACACCAATATGCAAATGGAAGTATAGCTCTCTTGGAGAATAGGGAAAATGTGAAATTTACTTTAAATTTTCATGTTAGTAAAAAAAAAAACATGATAGTGTTTGGTTCCTGAATGTTATAAGCACCGGGATTTTCTAACACTAGAGTCATTAGATTGTAAATAGTTTCTATGAGAGATATGAAATACATACAGAGAACAACGCTTCTGAATGCAAAATATCCATGTTCATGACAAAAAACAGAGAATTATGGGCAAATTTTTTTAAGCTGATATAAAGAGTAACCTCTCATTAGATCAGTTCTGTGCAGAAGAGAATCTGTGACAATATATCGAGCCATGGACAGAAAGGTAAGGGCACAAAAAACCTATCCTCATATAGAGACCTACGTTACTGCGCCCTACATAGATCTAAAGACCACCAGATGAGGAAGAGAGTGCGGTGGTGGATGCACTTCTATATAATTACAACTGTAACCACCACTTACGCAACTGTTATTAAAAATGGAATTACCAGAATTCGCCATCTTCTCTGGTCTTTCGTAGTAGAAGCCTCTCCTTGAAGCCGAGTTGATCCCATTTGTGAGATCTGATAAAAAAAGGAATGTTTCATTTGAGTGTTATGAGAAATATAATATATCAGATGAAGAATCTCACACATCCCCACTATCACCCTTTAAAGTAGCAGTATTATTACACTCTCAATTCTATGTATATTTTCCAAACCACTTCTAACTCAAAGTGATCCCTAAATCATACAGAGATGGGAACCCTGGTCAAATCTAAAGAAACACTTCAATGCACCACATCCACTTCAGCCACTGTAGTGGTTATGGTGCCAGGAGTGAATTCACGCCATCCCCTGGTAAGTAGTCAAACTGTTTTAGAACCAGCTAACAATTTGCCAGGGTCTTGACGGATGTCTGCAGCCACAAACCCTGAATTTGGTCTTCGCCTTTAGAAAAACCTGTCACGTTCAACCAGTGAGAACGGTTCTGGATCAGACATGCTCAGCAACATCAGGCTGTAGGAGAAAAGTGGGTGTTGTGTAGGCTCCTGGGGGGAGGGAAGGGGCAGATAACCTACTGTAGGACAGCTCTAGAGAACTGCTGCCACTATAACAGAATGTTAATTTTACATGTGGTCACCAAAAAATATCTTCTAACCCATCAAATAGCACATTCCCCTCACATGGAAAATCACTGTACAATTAAAAGAAATAAGAAATGTTTTGAAGCTAAAATAATTATTTCAAACCATCGATTATTAAACCACACTTCACCCATGTTCAGGATGTTGTTAGGTGCGTAACTTGCTTATTGGACTCTAATTATTTCTGTCAGAAACCTAGCAACGTTTCAAACTGTTTTGTCTCTTCAGAAATACATCGTAACATTTTTTTGAAGGAAAATGTTGCTTTCTTTATCAACGAACACAGACTATTCTTCAAAATGATCACCTTGCAGTACTTCATCATAACACTAGGAGGCAGCAACATGTCTCATGCAACCCAATTCATACTAACATTCATTCACTGTTAGTCACTAAAGGGAGAGTTGTTGGAATTTTTAAGTAAATTATAAATGTAAGATCTGGAAAAAAAAATTCCAAGTAAGCTACGTTGCCATAATTTGCTATTGGCTATTGGCCATATGTTGGTTATTTTGATGTTAAATTTGGAATTATTATTATTATTATTATATTTATATAGTGCCAACAAATTCTGTAACGCTTTACAATGGGTTCACTTTGAATTTCCAACAGTTCTTGTTTTAGTAAATAATCCTGTTTGCGAATCTAGTTTTATTACTTTACCTGTCACTCCAGTTTCCTTTCCATTCAATTTTTCCCCAGGGATTTCTCAATCGCACTAAATTTTCAGATCCTGATTTGCTGGTCACCTGTTGAAAGCGAATGTCAGATATTACTGATACAGATATTTAACAGCCAGCATTTACAAATAGTCCACATGCTCCATTTACAGGTTGACCTGCTGTAGTTTCATGAAGATCGATACTAAGTTTATAAAATGTTCTATATCTCTCCACATTAAAGTGTTAACATCTGCTCAGCCTGTTAAAGATCCATGTTTAGAATAAAGTGTTTTTTATTTTTTCAGCTAACTTATTTGGCCTAAATTTTTTTGTTTTTACATCGGTGACTAAATCACCAGGACAATTTGCAAGTGTTTATACGCTTATGTTCTAAAATATTAATATTAACTTATTGTGTGCCTCACTAGTGTACCACAAGATACACACATCCCCCTAGACACGTGAATACACACACAAACAACACTTCCAAACACAACACACAAGTTTGCTACTTTACTTATATTTTTAGTAGTTAATGGGAGAAAGAACGGACATTACCTTTCTGATCCCAGTGACAGTATACGCGTGTCCTGCGACTAATCCATTCTCCAAAACCATTTCAGGCTAAATATTGGAAAAAAAGGCATTTAATTCAAACTTTTAAGAGTAAGAACAGTCCTACAAAACATTATTCCGATGGTATACAATGCCACATGGGAAGGGTGTCTTCAGGTCCATGTTGGTGTCTGTGCAATCACAGAGGTTCATACGCTTATTTTTGGTGGTTCTGCCCAAAGGTACTATCATATTAGTAGAAAATCTAGGATTTGCTTTTCCAGATTTTCCAAACAGAGGTGCCCTAGACCCATGGTCTTTTTCGTCAATCTATTGATTTCTTTCAAGGAAGAGAGAAAAACAACTCCTTAATAAAATCACACCAGCAGCTGGCAGAGCCAGCGTAAAAACAGGAGTCCCAAATATAGAAGCAATACTATGTAAAATAAAGACACGTCTCTTATGAAAAAGCCCAGGTCTGAAATTCAATGGGATCCTTCCAGAAACCATTGGAGCTTTGGGAATCTTACTGTACTACCCGAGGAAGGGAGGGCCAGGGTGAATGAGGGCACCCTCCATTCATGGGGATCTTGCCCACCCTCCACCCCTCTTTCAGCGGTATCTTGAATAACTTTGTGGCCTTCTCCCTTTCTCACCTCCACTAATGTCTTCCATTAATTATTCTTTAAGACAAACGCATCCTAGATAGTAGCCTATGCTGAGCATAACCGACCAACGCATCGGAGACATGAGATAAGCATAAATACAAAGGCAAAATATATCCTACACCAACACCAAAGGCAACAACACAGCAGTGGAATTGTTTTTTGTTAATTTCTTTTTTAATATATAGTTTAGTTATATTTAATATCCATTTTAAAAAGGCAGCCTGAGACAGCTTCTTTTTAAAAGAGTAACATATTAATTTGTATGGGCAAAACTGTCTTATCGGTTCGAAACATTACAATATATATCCTAATTATTGTTGTATAATGTGCCTTTATGTAACAACAAATTAACTGAACAAAAATAAGGAATGTAAAAGAAATAGATACGCTCTAATATAACAATAACAATATTGGCATAGAATCATAGAATCATGAATGGTATTTTTGGAATACACAGCAGAATGTTTGCAATCTGTAGTTATCTCTAGTAAAGAGTGGGTTGAGATATGGCTACTTGTTGTATATCTCTAAGATAATTAGACATGACTTTATGCTGCCCGCAGCTCTGGTAATGAGCAGGTTAAGATATGGCAACATGGCTACTCAGCCAGTGGCAGCCTACTTTGATATCACATAATCTTTCCTATAAAAGAATGTAAATTATTCTTACTCCGGATCGAGTCTGGCATCCCATTAAGGACCCACTGTTCGCTGCCCTGATCATGATCTGCCACAGATCTGGGGGGGCTTCCGCCAATTTTATGGTAAGATTCACGCCACCGGTGAAGTCCACCAATGCTTCAGATACTTGACCAATCTGCATGTCTTCATAGGAGCCACATAGCCTGAGACACAAAAGGAAAACGGTTTCTTTTAATAGAGTATAGTTGTAATCATTCGTAATATTAATAGTTATCAGGAAATAGATATAGGTGTATCATATGACAATATCAGACAGCTGAATGCGGTGATTTGATGTCCGTATCATAATTCACAAAACGTTTTAGGGAAAGTCAACTTGTCTGCAACCAAGTCATTCCGTTTGGGTTTGGATAATTCACATTTTACTTGCATAGACCTAGTATCAGACTCTTCTTTTTCATACATGTCCTACTTTAAGCACCAAAACCTCTTGATGTCACCCCTGCATTCTGAGAGATGTAAGCATTGCCATTTTAAAGAAACAGCAGTGTTTACCTTTGTTTGTCAGTGTGCCTCTATTGGCTGTCAATAATTTAAGTCTCCCCATAGAAAAGCATTACAAATACTTTATTATAAGGAGAATCCTATTATTGGCACCACACTTGATCCGCATGCACAATAGGATGCTCAATGCTTGGGAAAACATTGGACTGGCCCGAGATCACTCTAGTGACAATTTCAGAAATAGGTGGAATGGTGGCTGCAGTGAGATTGGGACATTGTTGGATGACAAGTGATTTTTAACTTTATTATTTTAATTTATAAAGGGGAGCCCAGTAATTCCACTAAGGATGCTCTAACATTGCAAAACACACACACATATATATAGTTGCACATGTTTCTTTAATATGAGCAAGCAATGGCTTTCTGCAGAACCTGTTATTTCAGTTTATACAATTAATGTATTTGGTGGAGTCTAGGAAATGAGTGGCGTGCTTCATAACCAAACTAAAGAGCTACATTTTTAATATAGTCTGTGTCAGAAATGTTCATAGCTCTATTTTTAACATCGCAAAAGCCACACAATAAATGTGAAATGCGTAGGCCAGTATGTGCAACACAAACGATTTATTAATACCAGTCTCAGTATGTTTCAAGCCTTACTTAGCATAAGCTTTCTCCAGGAGTGCTCCCCAAAACAAATTCTTTTTGACGCAAGACACAAACAGGAGCTTGCCGTTTTCATCTACCGGAAGACGGTCATCCACTACCACGTCAACCCACTCCCCGAATCGCCAGAACTGTGGAGGAATTATGTCAGGCTTAGCAGACAGTTAATTTCTTACACAATAAAATAAGTAGAGGTCTCCATAATCCCAAAGCTCAAAATGTATTAAAAAGGAGATTATCAAAAAAGACAAACAAAAAAATGTCTGTACCTTGCCGAAAACAAGACTGTAATGAACACATTATTCACCCAGGAAATAAATATGTATATGTGATAGTTCAAAAATATAACAATATGCTATGCATGACGTTTACCTTGAAATGGAAGATTCCTGCGTAATTTTTCTGAAAGCTCTGGTTTTGAGGCACCACGTTAGTTAATATATCTTTGTTCAGGGTAAGTGATGCTAGAGCAGCTAAAAACCAGCAGTTTTCTGTAAGAGAGAATCAATAATATGAGCAAAGCACACGTCACCTACAAAATGAACACACAACAGAGGAGAGATCCACAGAACACAACGATATGTTCACTCACTAACACACTGTCTGCTTTTGGTAACTATTTTTATATTCATGGAAGTAAAGAAATACAAAATGTCTATCCATAATTGAGTACGTTAGACTCAGAATTTTGAAATCCGATACCTATTGGGTTTTTTCTCTCCTTGCTGGATCTCAATAGAATACCTGACACCGTATATACCAGAAGGTAGTGTGTCCGACGCAGTGTGCAATTTGTATATTTAATAGTTTAATGAGTAACCGCTCAGCTTACAAAGTAGAAGTTTTCTTATGAAATATTTGTTGATACCTGTGAGTCCTTGGTGCAAGTCGAACCTGCTCACATTTTCAGTAAAGAACAGAGGATTCTTCATCAGCTCCTGGGAAAAAGGACCAAAAAAAAGTGTTATGATCATTTTTCTTTCGATTGATTTATTCATTCAATAAACTTCAAATATCAGAATATTGAATCCTGAATTAGAAAAAAACATTTTAGACTCGATTTTAGCCTGAGTTTGCTATTTGGATTTTAATTTGCTACAATTTGAAGTTTAATGACTATACCCCTACACTGAGAATTGTCTGGAATTCAAAGTGAGTTTCCTGTTTTAGACCAAATATAACCTTATTGCCAGCTGTTTTCAATTCAGTTATTTTGGCTTCAGATTTGAAATTCACTGTGAATTGTCAGTAATTAGCAAGCGTGATATGTCTGAAATCACTTTTACAAACTTTTACAGAAAATATTTTATTTTGGAGAAAAATGTGTGTATGAAATATTACAATGCAGTCACTGCTTCACTTTAAAAGTTAGGATATTAAAATGAAAGTCAAACCTTGAATTTATAGGAACCACCGAGCCACAGAATGCACTGCAACCAATTGAACATTGTTTTGCTACTATATTTCCTACAAGTATATCTCTACGAGTCTCTACGATATTCATTTTAGTGGTTTACAACATACGGTAAGTGCAGGTCGAACGCACTATGCAGACTATTTTGTATTAAGTAGTGAAGGCGTGCGTCTTTACATCCTGACTAGAGATGTCGCGAACCGTCCGCGAACTTCTCGCGAACGGTTCGCCACGAGCTGTTCGCGGCGAACTCCGGTCAGCTGACACGTCCCGGCCAATCTCCAGCAGACCCTCCCTCCCAGACCCTCCTACTTCCTGGACAGCATCCATGTTTCAAACCGGAGATGCTGTCCAGTATGAGGGTCTGAGAGGGAGGGTATGCTGGAGATTGGCCGGGACGTGTCAGCTGACCGGAGTTCGCCGCGAACAGCTCGTGGCAAACCGCGGCGAACCGTTCGCGAGAAGTTCGCGGACGGTTCGCGACATCTCTAATTCGCCACGAACAGCTCGTGGCGAACCGTTCGCGAGAAGTTCGCGGACGGTTCGCGACATCTCTAATCCTGACATGGGTTTTTGTAATGTACATTTGTGCTATGCTACTGTATTTTCAGAAATCTGTACAAGATTGTGTTATTGCAGCAGCCGGCATGTAAGGGTGAGTACCAGTTGGTCAGATAACAAGTAGAGTCTGACCCAATATGGCTGCTAAGGCAGATTAAAACAAGTGAGATTTTCGCAAAAATAACAATATACATCAATAAAAAAATAATAGTTATGTTTCATTAACTATAATGATCTTTTCAAAAAAGAAATTAAAATTTGATCACAATTGTTCTTTAATACAAGTGGTTTCTTTGACTTACATGTGGTCTTTTCCACTCAAAATTTGGCGGGACCTTACGCAAAAGAGTTCCACTTCCAATGGAGCTTAAATCTGCTGGGAAATCTTCATCGTGAAATAACTGCTTACTCCTCAAACACCTCTCTATCAAGGTGTGGTAGTCTTGTCCTTGAAGCCGTCGAGGCTTTCTAAAAGTCCCAGTGCGTAAAATCGGCTTTGGCTTTTTCCCACCAGTAATGAAAGATAGACGAGGCATTGTGAAATTGTGTTTAAACAACTCCACGGTGGGAATCTGACTCAATATCAGTCAGCACACACCTCCCCGAGGTCAGCCTTCGATAGCAGTCTTTTTTTCTATTAAAATACATATTTAAAAATGTTAGAAAGTAAAGAAAAATATGTTGGCTAAAATTCAGGATTTCACAAATTCATGAACATATTTTATTAGGCAATAGAATACTGCAAACAAAACATAACAATTAGCCAAAATGTGCAACAAAACAACAGTAGCCCCATAGACATAACAAAATGTTACAGGAGTAAATAAAATATTTTCCATTGAGAGAATAAAAAACTAAGATTTCCTTGTGTAAAAAAATAATTTCTATAAAATAAAACAAAAACTGTATAAAATATTAAATATGGAAATATCGATAACAGTTTCTCTTAGACATTTAACAACTAGCCTAGCCTGTTCACCTCAGTTAATGAGTAGATTAATGTGTCTTACTAAAACAGTATTCCTATTTAATGTCAAAGAATTACACATTTATACAGGTCCTGCTCTTAAATCGCCAACATTAATTATAATACAGTGCATGTCATCTCTGAGAAATGGTCATATGTCACAAATAAAGAAAATTCTGCCATAAAGCATGTTTGTCACTATAAGTTTAACCAGAGATTTTATATGTCTAGCATTAATTTATTGTGGACACAAAATATCTAAGCTGTCTAGGTGTCTGCAGCAAATTAATGACTACATACATGTATTGTGGGAAAATTTAAGATATTTGTCAATGGCCCTTGACTATCTGGGCAAGGAATTCCCTTGAGTCCATTCACTATCAACTGCCCATAGAGTCCTACCCCTGAGCAGGGTGATCTTTCTCAATAAAAACCACAATAGAGACGGATGTTTTGACTATCAATGGTCAGGAATTATCATAGAATTGATTAGTTCATGCAGCCATACAGCAGATATTGAGTGGTTCTAAAAGAGTTAAGGCCAAACATGACTAACATAAACCTCCACTCAGCAGATTCCCAAACGCAGATTCATTGTCTAATAATAATTTTAATGGACAAATCCAGACATGTCAATGTATTCCTGAGAACGGAACTAATCCCATTAAAGTTATCAGCACACAAACCAAAATCAAAAATATAGAGGCTCCTATCACAGGAGGGAGAATAAACAATGGTCTTGTTACCCCAATCTGTATACAGCCCAGGTTACACGGCTCCAGATCTGAAAGAAATGTATCACTCAATCTATCAAAAAACTTACATCCATGACATCATTACACCTCAGCAGCTAAAATGAAAAATCATAGCACGCTGACTATAGCCAAATACTGCCAGGCCATAGGCAGCTATTTCCCTGTTCAGTCACGTCAGCTGCCAGTTCCCTAATCACCCTAGATCTACTCTTATCTCGCACTGCTCCTCTCGCCTTTTTTTCTTTATCTTCATTTTATCTTCTTGCTATCTGTTATCTTATTTTACTTATATCACAATTTACATGTTTACCTTCATTTTATGTATATTCCAAAATACTTTGTTATCACTGTGTATTATATTGTTATTATCACTAGTATTTACATAGCACTAACATATTCCACAGCTCGTTAGAATTATAGAAAGGGGGTGTTCAGATGTCGAAGAAGGACGGGCTCAAACAAGCTCACAATCTATGAGGATTTGAGGTAAGTGGATATTATATCAGCAGGTGTCATGCCCAGAGACTTTACCACCGCTCTAACAAGCCGTCACGATTGATATGTCAGTCTGTTGTTAGTGCTATGTGATTGTTATATCAATAATAAACTTTATACATTTTTAAATAATTTTATTTAATACATGCTATTACTCACGAGAATTTCAAATTCAACTTCTGAAAGGTATCCCTTCTCATATGTATTGGGCAATATAATATCTGTTATTACATTTCTGGTCTTTTAGTCACCGTTCAACATAATCCAGCAAACGTTTCTTCACGTGGCGAGTCAAGTCACTCGTGTAATTAATGAATAAATAATCAATGAATGTCCCATGTTTTTAATTATATGTTTTGAACACTGTTTCAGAAAGTTAACATCCTCTTTATCAAAGTAATCTCTTTGTTCATTGACAGACGCACTATAGCAAGTGCTATATATTTTTTAATATTGTATTAATTCACACTAACCTCTTGGGTGCCAATTAAATATTTACGTTTTGATTTTTCAAGCTATAAAAAAACAACAGTGTTATTCTATAACCCATGAAGTTAGGAAATTAGCCCAACTTGGAGAGTGCAGTTTCTTGGTTTCTCTGATTTCTATAAAAAGGATTCCTCACTGAAATGGGACTTGTCGGGGGTTCATATGGAGTTATGCTTTAGTAAGAATTCAAAGTGAATTTCACATTTAAGGTCAAAGTAGCCAAACTAAAACAAATCTGCTATGCTTCCAATTCGACTACTTTGGCCTTAATTTGAAATTTACTTTGAATTCTCACTGCACTGAATACTCTGCTATAGCTCTTTAGCTCAATGAAGTGGTCTGGGAGCAATGTCCCTCAGGTTTTAACCCTTCAGATGTAAACATAGCAGTTTCACAGAAACTGCTATGTTTACATAGCAGGGTTAATCCAATCTCTAGTGGCGGTCTTCCTGACAGCCACTAGAGGCGCTTCCCCGATGCTCAATGCGAAAATCGCATCCAGCGTGCAGAACGTCCATAGGAAAGATATTATAGAACGCATGATAGAGGGACTCCCTCTCTAAACAGAGACAGTTATTCACCAAAGTGAGAATTCAAAGTGAATTTAAAATTAACGTCAGAGTAGCCCATCTAGAAGCATAGCTGACTTAGATAATTGTGCTCATTCAGCTATTCAGCCATTTTAACCTTGAAAAATTCAGAATAGGTTTTGAATTCACTTTAAATTCTCACTCTAGTAAATAACTTGAGAGCGTTTAGATGTTCTGACATCTGACCCGTAACATTTAATACAATATTTCTGCGGAGGAGATTTCTTCCAACTTGACAATTTTTGGCTAAATTTCACTAACTGGCTCTAAGTTTACCACAATTCTCGCAACTGGCTGAATATGAGTCTGTAAATGAGTAAACGAATCCCATAAACCTTAGTCTAATAGATTGATGTAAGGATTTTTTTTGGGTAAAATAATTCCAAAATCATAACAATAATAAGTTGTGTAGACTGCACCCTTTGGTATAAAAGGTCACTCAGTTTATCGTTCTTGAACTCAGTGACTGATATCTTAAACGGTAGTGGTTTCACATATCCTAACATTTTGCAATATCCTCTTCAGATTAAAATCTTAACCGTTCCAATGCTACGAGATACCCATTGTCTTGTAATTGTATAGAATCATTCTGACTTGAACTGATCTACGCATTACATCATCGAAATATGTTCAGTTTTACAGTAATGAATGTCTCAATAAAGGAGCATTAAGCACTATAACCACTATAGCTCATCATAATTGATATAGCGAGGATTATGTGACTGCTCCCCCTACTGGTTTCATGTCAATTAATATATTATTATAGTCAAATACTGTTTATTGCAATTAAAATCAACAGAATAAAATATAGTTAATATTGTTGACTCATTTGGTACCAGAAGAATAAGAAGTCACTGAACACACTCACAATAAAGTATCGGAATATTTCTGCATTTTTAGAATCAGATCTAAGCAAGTTTACTGTAATGGGTTTGGTTTTTCACGTGAAACTTCCTCCATTGCTGTGATAGCAATTTATACTTCCTGCTTTCACCTACCTTCCCTCCTGGGAGTTACTGGCATTGACTGACAAGTAAGTGATGACACCTGCTTTTGGTTGATACAATATGTACTTTTGTGGGATTGACACAACTATCAGAAAACTCAGTGTTGAACGCAGATTAACTTGAGGAAAATAAATTTATTATATATCAACACTGTAGGAAACATTATGTGACCAGAAATTACAATGTAAATCTTTAAACAAGCTTTCTAATTAATTTGGAATTAATTGACAAATATATTATTTACAGACTAGAACTAGGTGCGCACAATCAGGCAGCAATACTAAGACCAAATAATAATAAAAAATTCTTATCTTCATTGAATCGTTACCTATGCATGTAAAATCCATTCGGTATCACTTAACTCATTGGCTGAGAGCATTCAACTGACACTCTCAGCCAATGAGGCAGCATATAGCTCCGGGGAGATAATGGACGCTCTGCACATGGTTCTCCTCGAGGCTGTGACCAGCATCTTGCTGACCCCAGACAAGATGCCTAACCATTTACAAATTGTCCTGGGCTGACACCAAGACACTCCTGGCACCATTACCATGACAATGTGCTGCAGTGGTTATGGTGCTTGGATTGTTACTGTAATCCTATGTGCCGTGTTCATGCCTCAAATGTTGTCCTAAATTAAAGGCATTTTCACCTCAGATGAACAGAGACTTGGCAAAGAATCTTAAAACAGAGAGGGTGAGGTTGCTTTTACAATCAATTATTCTGAATAATGTTAATTAGCTCCTCTAATTAACATTCTTCAGAATAATTGAGCAGACTAGATGGCTGAATGGTTCTTATCTGCCGTCACATTCTATGTTTCTATGTTTCTCTTGCGAACTCTGAATCAGGACATTCGGTGATACAGAGAACATGTTTTCCCCTTTATATGTCCTACTTTTTCTCAAAACAGTAACAGACTTATAGTGGCACTGCTCTCGTGTCCCTGTAATTTAATGATTTCACTCCCCCATTGTCTAATTATGTTTATTAACTTTTATACCTTGAGTTGGATCTCAAAACCTGGGCACGGCCATTTTCTCTGCTCGCCATGTTGTCTCCTGCTTGCCCTACTATAAGACACTTTAAATTATAGATTGTGGGTAGATTGGCTTAGCAACTGAAATTAAACTTTTCTTAAACTCCGCCCACTGTGAAAGAGCTGCAAGATTGGCAAAGACCATACTCTGTATACAGTGTCACTTTAATGATTCCAGCAACATACAATGATAC